AAATATAATTCCAATGAAACAATCATATCTATAAAGCTAGATTAGTATGTAAAGGGTATCGACAAAAAGAATGTATAGATTATTTGACACCTATGCACCCATGGCTAGGATAACCTCGATAAGGATCTTATTTGCATTAGTATCTATTTATGATTTATATGTTCATCAAATGGATGTCAAGACAACATTCCTTAATGGAGATCTCGAAGATGAGGTCTATATGGAACAATAGGAAGGTTTGTTCAATCAGGAAATGAACATAAAGTATACAAACTAATCAAGTCCTTATATGGATTAAAACAAACCCCTAAAATATGGCATGAGAAATTCGACACTACTATTATGCCATATGATTTTACTCGTAATTCAGTTGATAAATGTTTGTATCAAAGTATGTGATAATATTATTACATTCGTATGTCTTTATGTGGATGATAGGTTAATTATTAGTAATGACATAGAATAGATCAAAGAAGCGAAGATGTTTCTATCTTCAACGTTCAAAATAAAAGATTTTGGACAAGTGGACAATATCCTTGGTATCAAAGTTAAGAAGGATAGTGGGGGTTATTCATTAAGCCAATCACATTATGTTGAGAGTGTGATAAATAAGTTCAAATATTTGAACATTAAAGAGACAAATACCCTATTGGATTCATGTATCAAGTTAGTAAAGAATGACAGAAGATCAATAGCTCAAATTGAGTATGCAAGTGCAATCGAAAGTCTTATGTACGTGGAACAAAGTCACCATAGGGTGTTGATTCTGAACCCTTTGCCTCTCCTAGATCTGATTATCAACTGCTTGTTGAATGTTCTCAGTTCTTTCATTTTCCTCCAGCATGTTGGATGTTGGTTCAACAGATTCAAGTTCAAGGTTACCTTCAACTTCAATTCTATCAGCCTCATCAGAGTTGTTATCATGAAAATCACTTCCTGTTGATTGTCACTAAAGTCTGAAGGTAAGTGATGTTGTCCATGGGCTGCTTCAATTTGAGCTGTATCAAGGGGACTTGAAGTGGAATTTTTTAGATCAAATGGAAAATGGATATAAAGAGTAACTATTCCAGGTACTACAGGCTGAGATTGATTTTCGACATTGAACAAGGACTCAAAAGGGAACTCAGATTCATTGAATATCACGTGTTTTGATATGTACAATTTTCCTGAAGAGTTCAGACATTTATAACCCTTGTGAGAATTGCTGTATCTAAGGAAGATACACTTTGTAGATTGGAAACAGAATTTGTTTTTCTAATATGGCCTTAAGCAAGGAAAACAGGCACACCAAAACGTTTTCTAGTCTCCATCCTTGGTTCTCTTTTGTACAGGGTTTGATAGGGAGATTGTTGTTTAAGTACAGGAGTTGGCAGCCTATTTATGAGGTAAATAGCCGTGTGAAAAGAATCCCACTAGAATTTTAAAGGCAACTGAGCCTGAGCCAACAAAGTTAAGCCTGTCTCAGTTATGTGTATGTGCTTTCTCTCTATTCTACCATTTTGGGGTGAAGTATAGGAACATGGATGCCTAATTCGATTCCTTCATGTGTTAAGAAATTAGAGAAAACTCTATACTCTCCCCCCCAATCAGCCTCAGGGTTTTGATTTTATGATTCAATTTGTTTTCAACAAGGTTTTTAAATTGGCTAAATACTTTGAAAGCTTCAAACTTCAGTTTTAGGGGGTAGATCCATGTAAAACGGATGAAGTCATCTAAGAAAGTTATGTGATATTTAAACCCTGAGGTTGATAGCATAGGTCCAGATCCCTATATATCAGTGTACACTAATTCTAAAGGTGAGTTGGCATGTGATGAAGATAGAGAGGAAGGTAACACATGAGATTTGCCAAGTTGACATATATTGCAAAAAGATTTGATGATATTTTCCTTTGCTTTCATATTACAGACTTTAAACACTTGAGTTATCTTGGCTAGACGGATGACCAAGTATATTGTGCCATACACCAACATTTAAAAACTCTTGACTCGAATTCACTAAGGCATTGATAGGAGACTTTTGACTGGAATTAACTAAAGACTCTTAACTAGTAGGGACTGAGGAAATGTTGCAGCAAAATTTATTTGGGAAGCTTGATTGATGAGAGAGTTGACTGGTACTTTGATGGGGAAAGTCCAATTGATACAGCCCTTCCTTAAGTCTCCCTTGTAGCATCACCTCCTTCGTTGCCATGTCCTTGACAAAACAACAATTAGAGTGAAATTCCATAAAAACTTGATTGTCTAAAGTAAGTTGAGAAACACTAAGGAGGTTTTTCTTTATTGAACATGTAGAAGTTTATTTAACACTAGTGTTTTATCATTTAGAGCAGGTATATGTGAGGTTCCAAAGTGTGAAATGCTTAACTTACTTCCATTTCCCACCATGAATTTCTCCTTACCAGTGTACTCACTTGCTGAGGCTATGTTTGCCTTATCAGAGGTGATATGGTTGCTAACTCTTGTGTCTGAAAACCAAGTTGGGTTACTTACTGTGTTAGGAGTTTCCAGGAGAGCAGCAGGTGGTGAATTGTAGTCGATCCTCTGATGAGGTGAAGTGCCAGTTATCTCTCATCATATCTAAAGTTACATATGTTTGCCTTATGTCCAACTTTCCCACACACTTGGCAAACTGGACTTTCACTTCCAAATGTACTGACTCCTCTGCTCCTTCCTCTTCTTCCATTTCTGTAGTGGTTGAAGTTAGTGAATCTTTCTCCAGTACTTGGCCTATTGGATCTGAAATGATGATGGCCATAACCTGATCTCTGTGACATATTTGCTGAGGTTTGATCAAGACTTATCCCAGCCATTTCATTCCTGATAGAGTTGAGATGTTCCAATCGACTTTCATAAGTCATCAATGTGGATTGGAGTTCACCCCAGGAGATGTGATCCCTGCTATTTATCTGAACAACTATTGGTGTCTAGTCCAGGAGATATCATCCAGCCTAGCCAGAACTTGAGTTATCAAGTCAGTGTTAATGATGGTCTTTCCAGCGATTTCAAAATTATCAATAATCTGTTTCACTTTATTCAGATACTGATCGATGCTCATATTACCTTTCCTTGGTTTCTGAAGTTCACCTATAAGGAAGGTAATCCTTGATTTGTTCGGACTCCATAGCTCTTTTCAATGGCAGTCCACAATTCATTTGAGTTGGCTGCACCCATCACCCTCATTGCAATGTCTGGTGTCATAGAGGAATAAAGTCATCCCTTCAACAACTGATCTGTTGACATCCATTGGCTGAATTTTGGATTCTTCACCATCTCTATACTGGTTCCAGCTTCTTCAGTGATTTGGATTCCAATGAACCTTACAGTGGTTTGTCTCTAAGTGGAGAACTTTTAAAATTTTGTTTATTACAGTGAAATTCGTGTCAATGTAGAGATTGTTAGAATTTGGGTGTGACCTGAATTCTTTGTTGAAAATAATTGTAATTTCTAATTAAAGTGTACATTAATTAGGATCTTATTTGGAATGCATTTGTGAAATCCTATTCAAATTTACTTGGTGAATTCCAGTTGAAATTCTACTAGAAACCCATTAAGAGTAAGAATTTGTGTTGGACTTGAAGAAAACTTTAGAACGAAGAAAAACATCCTTGGAAGGTTTTTGGAAGGAGACATGACACCTAGGCGCCGAATTCCGATGCCCAAGCACCACCCGCACAAAAGCAAGCAGCAGCACCGCCCCCTGTTTCGCCCCTAAGAGATATTTCTGATTTTTTTCGTTTTGAACTCCGTTTTTTACATTCTACTTCAACTACAACTCTACTGTAAGGATTTAGACGTCCCCTATTTGTTCCTTATATATAGTGGTTCTTCATTATGATTTAGAAGAAGTTAGAAACATTGTTAACTCATAATCTTTGCATTGTTTCTCCTTATCATAATAAAATCTCAATTCTCTTCAAATTTTTTATTCTTGTATTCTTGTGATCATTTACTTCATATTGTGGTTATAAACTTTTATCTTTTCACAAATAACTGATATTAGAGCATTCAAGTCTACAAAACTTACAATGAAAGATAAGATCCATACGGAGCCTTGAGAGTGTCAAATGATGATAAAAGGCAAAACTGACATATGAACACATCACTTGAATGACAAATCCTTCAATTGGATCAATGCATCATGGATCACATGAGCGCGGCCTCATCCAGCTAAAGGTAAAAAGTAAATTCAGTATGGAGCAGAAATTATAAATATATGACCATTATTAACAATCTATTTTACTTTTGCAAGAAAAAAGAATGAACGGTGCAACGTGGAAACCTGAGAAACAATTAGAAAGCAGCTTCCCGCGGCAGAAAAGAGAACACTTCAAAATATACCGATCAATTCCTGGAAACTTGAGATATTGGGGAAAAAGTCATTCCAAGTGCTGCATCTGATTTAACTAATATCTGTGTTTATCCTTCATTTATATTTCATAATTAGAAGGATTTCTATATAGTTCAATCGCATAGCATGAAGTACAGAGAGAATGGTTTCAACTCTTTCTTTGAAAGAGAACTTGCTTCTCGAATCATACCATAAAGAGAGTGAAACAAGAGAAACATATAGCAATAGGAAAAACAGCCAGAAGAAATTTCCATTTATTGGAGTAATAATCTTACATGAATTGGGGTAATCAATCAACCAAGCAAAAACTACAACGGCACTCTGAAATCTGAACACAAATACTGGAGATCGAATTTATCAATACCAGCATCATTACCATGAAACCACGATGCAATTCACAATAACAAACACCTTAGTTCTACTGAAGCTAGAGCTAGATAATTACGGGGTTGGACTTATCTGTCTTGTGTCTTCTAAAAACACAAGAAGCAACTAACCAACGAAAAAGGCACAACTGATGGCTTTACATACAATTCATATGCAATATTAACAAAGACATTCATTCAGCAGACCAAACAACATCATGATCAACAACAAACGACAAATTAGATTCTCTTACAGCACTCTGATTGGCATTCAACTCGACTAACAATCAATTCGCATCACCTTCCCTTCGTTGTTCGGAGGATTGAGGTGGATGACCGGATAGAGATGCCAGCAAATTGAGGTGGTGTCCCTGTACTTGAGCTATGGGCAAGTAATTGCCAACCCTTGCAGCTGACGCTTCCCCCATCCCCAACGGCTGTTGCTGCTGAAGAAACCTCAAGGAAGACGTAGGTTGCTGTTGCTGCTGCTGCTGGGGATTATTCGATGCAGCGGCTGCAACCACCATTTCACCAGGAGGTGCAGCAAAGCTCCAGACTTGCCCAAAATCTGGCCTGGCAGGCAATGCCCAAAACCCTCCAGCAGCCGCCACCGTGGGACCCACGGAAGCTGTAACGTCATCTTTAGCGATGTGGTGTTGGTGTTGGTGTTGGTCTTCAACGTCAGGACGGAGACGCTTGCCGAGAATGAACGGCGTTGGTGAAAGCAAAGACTGAGAATGAGGCTTGTGGTCTAGGGCAGCAGAGACGGAAGAAGAATTACCGTTGGAGGCAGAGACGGTTGAGAAACTGGCTGGAGTAGTACCTGTACCAGTGGCAGCTATAATCGACGGCTCCGCCTGGCGTAGAAGCCACTCAATTGTCTGTCCATCAGACTTGTGTCCGAGCTCACGAGTCAGCTGGAAAACTCTGGCGGCGCAGATTATAGGCATGCGGATGCGGCGGCCTCTACCGTCGACCTTGCTATGGCGGTCCTTCGCCGGTGGTTTCTTCACCACCAACGCGCCATTATTGTTCCCGCCGACTCCGGCCTTCTGGGAAGGATCGATAATTGCTCCTCCATCAACGGTGCCGTCAGCTGCCGACGTTGACATAGTAGAATTAATCAAGATACTTCACTGATTAATTGATCACCAGTAACAGTACAGAATTCTCCTAGACAGTGAATTGAAGAAGAATGAAATGACTTTAGTGTTCTGATTTGGGAGTGAGTATGAGGAGGGGGAGAAGGAGAAGGGGGAACGGAGAGACTAATGATTGAGCGGCAGGAGACAGGAGGAGGGCACATGGGTGGTGGGGGTCCACTTTTAAACCCTATGTCACGCACTTCATACCATATTTTACTAATCACGCGCCACTTCTCAGGAAAAAAAAAACTGATAATAAATAACAAAAGCCTCAAACGTATGTTTAATAAAGTTTTAATTATAATTTAAAGGGATAATTGCAGCAAAGGTCCCAAACCTTTCAAATTTTTGCGCACTTTACCCTAACTTTTGATTTGTGCCAACGAAGGTCCCAAACCTTTCAAAAATATGCGCCGAAGGTCCAAATGGACGGATTCCATCCAATTGACCATTAATCAACCCAAAAAGTCAAAAAATGGTACTTTCAATATTTATCCCTTTTAAATAGGTTAAAATATTTGTTAAAAAATAAAAATCAATTTATAACACTTCTTCCTCCCACCCCACTCCGACCGCCACCACCGTCGCCCCAAAGCCGGCCACCGCCGGGGGCGGCACATTGCTGGCACCACCCCTATTTCCTCCCCCAACCCCACTCTCTCCACCCCCAAAATGCTATCACCACAATCAAACCAAAACCTACACCCAAAAAATAAAAATAAAAACCCAAAAAGACGTGGATGGTGAGCTTGAAATGGAAGATGTGTCTGAACACCAAAAAGACGAAAGACCACTGTCCAACAATGGGGCTTTTGAGACTGCAAAAATTCAGCCAGATGCAGATACGATTCTGGTGTCAGCTCCAAACAATTATTTTCAATTGTTGCCTCTACCTGATTGTTCGCCACCATTGCCTTTTGATTCTCCTCCTGCACACCTTTACCCACTTCACCACTTCCATTGCCACCTCCGCTGCCACATTCATCGTCTCCATCCCCACCGCCACCGCCACTTCCTTCATCAGAGAGATCTCTATTTCCTCCACCACCCATCGGTCCTCCTCCGCATTACTTCCAGCACCATCGTTGCCTCCACAGCCTACATTGATGTCCCAAAACATGGCACCACTTTGCAAAATCAGTAGATCCAGTAGATCAAAACAAAATCAGCTGTTTGCAAACAACAGTCGACAGAGTGGCTGAGCTGGTGACGGGTCGAATCGGGTAGATGAAAACCTAATCAGCCGTTTGTAGTAGGTCGGCGACGTTGCCGTTGCCGATAAGAGTCCCAAAAATGTTGAATTTAGTGGTGGGTCGCTGTAAACTTCCGTTGAACTAGTGGCTGGGATTGTGGGCTTGGGGTTGTGAAGTTCGTAGGTGACGGAAATGCAAAGTGAAGGCTAGAAATGTGATACTGGTCATGAACATCTGACGGACAGATTTTTTATCAAATAGCTCTGAAGAATGGGCAACGAACAGGCCCTAAATGTTATTGTGGTGGTGGTTTTGTGATAGTTTGTGGCTGGCTTTTGTGGTAGGTGCAGATTTATTGTCGCTGGTGATGACTTAGGGTTTGGAGGTGGTGATTTATGGAGGCGACGACGGTGGCGGCGGCGATGGTGGTGGAGAGAGTTTTGGAGAGGAAGAGAGAGTCACGGTTGTTGGAGAGGGAGAGAGAGAGAGAGTTTTTTTCTTTTTCTGTTTTTTCTTTTAATTGTTGTTTTAATAGATAAATGGCAAAGTTACCATTTTGCCCCTTTTCATTTTGTCAAAATCTACTATTTCTGGTCAACTAACGGTCAACTGGATGGAATCCATCCATTTGGATCTCCGGCGCATATTTTTGAAAGGTTTGGGACTTCCGCTGGCACAAATCAAAGGTTAGGGTAAAGTGTGCAAAAATCTGAAAGGTTTAGGACCTTTGCTGCAATTATCCCTAATTTAAATGAATTAAACACATATTTCTAGGGACATAAATGAGTTAGGCCGAGTCGACTCGCAAGTCAAAGATTACAATTCGAGTACACACTGGGTAAAAAATGACTTGTACGGCCCGAGTAAAAAATGGCTCGAGCGAGCCAAAACTCAATCGAAAAATTGAGCATTGACTTTGGCTCAAGCATTACAGAGTTGAGTTGGCTCCCCCATTTTTATTTTTTTTAAATAGGTGGCAAGCAGCCACCTGATTGAAACAGTAGGCCTGAAGGTTGCTGTTGGGTCTGCGTGGTTCTGTGAGTCATACTGATCAGTTCGAGCTTAAACTTTTTTACGAATCGAACTGTGGGCCTCTCGAGCCGATGAGTTGGATTGATATCTCTACATATTTTAAATCTCATCACGTTTTATCCATATGTTGTGCAAAAAACACTATTTGAATCTTATTTAAACATTTCTAACATGTTAAATTTATTAACTATTTACATCGAAGTATTTCAATTACATAATTGCATTACTCTACCATCTAATTCTAAAAGTATACATGTAATTAACAAATTATAAAGCACGGAATCATTTTGTGTGGTAATTGCATGTTGTCTTCCATCCACAACACGAGGTTACGGCAATAGCGATATCTTCACACCCAAAATTTAAACACGACGATATAAGGAATCAAATGAATTGGAAAAGTAACCATACACGATCTCATCGAACACCAATTTCAATTATTATCATAAGTTTGTTGAATCTTCAGGACAGATGATTTATTTTTATATATTTACTACTTATTTTGTACTCCACTTCTCTACACGGTAATTTTTCATTATTACTATTTTTCTTAGTTAGATTGAACCCTTTTTCTTAGTACTATTCTTCTTTCATAACTAATAAAAATGGTCACCTAGTGTGGTTAATTTATTTAAAAAGAAAAATGTAACTGAAACTTTTTTGAAAGTTTTTGGGTGAACAAAGTGAAATTTTATGTAAAGTTCAATGGTCATTGATAAAATCAACTCCTTGATAAATAATAACATTATACTAGTTTAAATAATGCATTCCACTAGGATAAACAAGTATACAAATGATAACGTTGCGCTGACATATTTTTAACTATACATGGTTTAATTTTAGGTTTAGTTATTTTAATTTAATTTCATAGAGATATTTACGGGTAACAAATTCAGCATGTTGCATAAAAAAATTTTAAAAAAAATACAGAGAGAAATGAAAAATAAGAATTTGAAGTAGACGAGAGGAGACTCTGTTTGATTTTAATAAAGATAGGTGTGGGTGGTCCAAAGGCAAAGGGAAAAGCGAATTTAAGAAGGTGGGGCCCTCCCTAATGCAATGCAATCCCTTATGTTTTCCGAATTCATATTTTTTTTTTGTTCAAATTTATGCAAAAATATCATCAACACGTAATTATTTATTTAGTGTAAAAAGAGGAAAATAGTATAATTTGCGGTTGTTGAATTTTCAATAAATCACATTTGGGTCGGTGACGAAATGTAAAATATGAATGAGAAAATAAGTGGTCGTTCTCTTTGTATTTTAGTTTTGAATTCATTTGGAGTTTGTGTTTTGAGTGTTATTTGGGATTGTTGAAAATGTGCTCTTTTTGACGTTTTGAAAATTTTGGCTTGATTATAACTGAAAACACCCAAAATGACAAATTTATCGTTTTGAGTTTTCTTTGTAAACTTTTAACTTGGTTCAAAAATGCGTTTTCGAAAATAGGAAAGAGAATGCGTTTTCACTATTTTGAAAAATCGAAAATAGAAAACGATTTGAAAATGGTAAAGACAACATGCCCTTAAAGTTTAGGGAGATGAACTAAAGTTTGGTTGAATGTACTCGTGGACTAGAAAGTAGTATAATTTACTAAAATTAATTTTTTTAGCATTTTTTATATGAGAATGATGGGCTTTGCTAATTCCCACTTAATGACAAGATTATCCTAATCATCTCATTATTAACAAACCACAATAATTGCGGTCCCTAAAGCAACTGAATTTTATGCCAAATATTTTAGCAAGGCCCACTCCCAGTTGACCCTAAAGTCCATGGGCCCGATCACTATAGGCCCATTCTTTTATTGGGCTCATTTGCCCACTTCTTCTTGTATGTCCCTTTTATAGATTGTGAAAATTACAGCATACCCGAATTTTCAACATCCAATTTCAAAATTCAGATTTACTAATTTTTATTTCAAAAATCAGATGATAATTAATTTACCTACACAATCCAACCATCCAGTCGAATTTTCAACGTCCAGTTTCAAAATTCAGATTTACAAATTTTCATTTCAAAAATCAGATGCTAATTAATTTACCTACACAATCCAACCATCCAGCCAAAACCCTAATTATCTTCCTATTTTCTTCTCCCTCTCTCAACGAAAAATATTGTCGGATCACCACAACGACAATGTCGCGGTTGCAGCGAGTCTGAGCGGAGATGTCGTTGTTGCTACACGCCATAAGCCCCACTGGATCCGCAAGTCTCTCTTCATCCCACCATGCTATTGAAGTCGTGAGCAGCAATGCAGCTGTTGTTGCACGTCGTGAGCCCCCACCAGATCTGGGGAACAAAAAATTAATCATTGTACGGAACTCGGGAACTAAATAGAATCGAACCGAATCCAAACGGTTCCATAATTAAATTTGGACATGACGGTTCCACTTACTAAATATCCAAAAATTTCAATTCGATTATCTTTAGAGTCGAACCGAACCGGATCATATCTAGCCCTAATGACATCCTTGTAGAGGACTTAAGGCCATATTCAATACAATTTTGATAATACAATGAACAAGATTTCAACTTTTTTCCCCTAATATTATCAATACTATCAAATATTGTATAACAAACCTGCCTTATATTATGAGCTTGTTTGGTAGAGATTAAAATCGGATTAAAATTGAAAAATTAGCCATTATTGTTGACTTTTATTAGACGAGTGGGACCCAATAACGACCATATTTTCAATTTTAATTGGATTTTAAGCTGTACCGAACATGCCCTAAATAAGAAGATCGCTACAAAACTGTTTTTAATGTTCATTTCGNCAAGCTCTAAATCTTCTATGAAGATATCAATTTTCCCGAAACACGATAAAATATCTAAAAATAAACCACAACCAAGAACGCGAAAATCAAATTTCAAGGAATAATTAAAAAAAAAAAATGAAGTATAGGATCTATGCTCAACTAATCACACTAGTAACTAATAAGAAAAAAATATTTTAATTTAGTTCAGTCATCACATATGAATAGGAAATAACTTTGATTCTGCAACTATTGAATGATTCGTTCCAAATACAGAATTCTTCAATGAAAAAGAAGGCTAAGTTTGGAACAATAAAATTCAACTGAACAAGAAAAAAGAAGTATGCTATATGGATTTGAAACCGACCACTATATGGACGTGGACTTCGACCAAGAAACGACCACTTATGACTAAAAATTTCGTGACTTTCTTTGCATAAATCAATCCCAGTGAGTACAACATCTCTCTTTATCCCAATACGCTGCCGCTCAACGACGATTCCCTTTCGTGCGGCGTTTACCCATGATAGCTACGCGTGGCAGCGGCGCATCTCACGCAATGCTGCAGATCTCTAGTCTCAGTTTGCCATTTTATCGATGGGCGGCGATAGACAAGTGGCCAGTGTTGCAAATCGGGTCAGAGAAGAAGGGGGGGGGTGGTTGTGACGAATCTAGGTGGTTGTCGCTGAGATTTAACTGTGAAGTTGCAAATCGAACAGATTATTGTTCACAGGCAGACAGAGATCAGACTATAGAATGAGATTAGTGGCCGACGTTGCAGATCTCTGGTCACAGGCAACCATTTTATCTTTGGGTTTTTTTGGTTGTGTTTGCGGTTGTTGGTGGTGGCTGTGGTGGTCTTGATTTTGGCGGTTATTGGTGGTGGCGACAGTGATGGTGATGTTAGCGGTGGTGGTCGTGATGGCGGTGGCGGTGGCGGTTTGGGGATTTTTTAGTGGGGTTGGTGGTTGCGGTGTGGTTGAGATGAAGATAGAGGAGATGGTAGTTGTGGGTGGTTGTGATGGTGGTGGCAGTGGTTGTGAATTGGTGGTGATAGTGTTGGTGGTC